GAAGGAGCCCAGGTGACCCAGTGGTTAAACAATTAGCTGCTAACTGAAAGGTCAGTGGCTCAAACCCATCAGACAATCTGCGGAAGAAAGATGTGGCAGTCTGCTTCCTGTAAAGATCACAGCCTTGGAAACACCATATGGCTGGCTGTTGTACTCAGGCCCTACAGGGTTGCTATTAATTGCAATCTTAACAGCAAGAGGCTTTTTAATCCAGTATTGATAAGGACTGGGGAAATTAGCATCCACTATTCAAGAAGGTAACTGTAGTAAAAATCTATAAAATGTGTATTACTTTGTTCTAGCAATTCTGCTTTCTGGAATTTATGCTCAAGAATATTCAATGTGATAGTGTTTTTATCAGAATAGTGAAAAATTACATACAAATGTGAATGTTCAATGATAGGAAATTGGTTAAATAGCTTATGGCACACCCATATAACAGAACAATGTTGTTGTTAGGTGCCATCAGGTTGGTTCCAACTCATAGTGACCCTGTGGACAACAGCATGAAACACTGCCCAGTCCTGTGCCATTTTCACAATCCTTGCTATGCTTGAGCCCACCACTGCAGCCTACAACACTAGGCATCACTAAATATGATGTAGGTGGAGAATATGTGAAAATGGGGAAATGATCAATTTTACAAAGCAAGTGATAAAACAGTATGAATCTTATTAGTGGTTTATTGTATGTTTCACAAAGCTCTAATATTTTAAAGATGTGTTTTGGGAACCATGGAGAAGATAGAACTGACCTCAACCAGAGGCACTCTTTTATCTATTACTATGTTAAAACTTTTGCTTTTTAAAGGGTTCTGCTTACTATACAACACTTATATAAAACCACTGGGATAAATTACTTTAAAAAAATCTTTAGAGTGTACATACACACATATCTACAGATACATATTCATCTGGAAAGTGGGATATACCAATATATTAACAGGTTTATACAGCTCTACATGGTGCAATTATTAGAAATGTTTGCTTATATTTATTCCCTTAATGGTTTACAATGGACACATACTGATTTTGTTAACACAGGAAAAGCCAACAAAAGTTATTCTCTTTAATATTAAAAAAAGAATTGAGACATTTAAACAATTACATGGCAAAATCACTATAAGCAAAGTCAAAAGACAACAGCCAATCTAGGAGAAAATATCTGAAGTGTGTATCATAGTTAAAGGGCTAAATCACTAAAAAAAAAAAAAAAAAACTTAAAATTCACAAAATAAAGGCCCAAAAGCCCAATATAAAGGTGGGAAAAAGAAAGGAGCAGACAACAGGCTAGCTACCCTCTTCCTCACCACAGGCTGGTCTCTATACCTCCCAGGTCCTAGTAATGTTGTACAGGCTGCCCTACGTGTGCCCTGCTCCCTTTAGCAGGAGAGTGAGGTAGGTCTCCAGAGATGGCTCACCTGGCACACATGTCTGAAGAGATGCAGGGCTCGCTGGTCCAGCTCTCCCTTGCACAGCACATGGGAACGCAGATAGAGGAGCGCATTCATCATCAGCTGTTCTCGGGTAGGGCAGGACCTCTGGCCCTTGCCTTCCAGCTCCTTTCCATTGAAACACTTGAGGGTCAGCTTTCCAAGGCCTTGCAGAACCTCCTCTGATTTCACAGAGCACAAAGCATCTGCATGAGCATAGTAGGTAGGGAAAGTAGGGCCCACTGATGGGAAAGCCAGCAAGGATGTAACCAGGGTACCCAGCCTGTCCATAGAAACTACACTGCCATGGAGCAAAGCATGGACTTCAGATGCCACCAGCCTCATGCCATGCTGCATCTGCAGGATGGATGACTGCAGTGGAGCCACGGTGTCTGGATACAGGGCATACTCTTCTACCAGACGTTTCCGGAACTGGTGGTGTGACTGCTGCCAAGATGCCTCCTCCTTCAGAAGGCTCTGGGCCACCTGGGCAGACCGAGGCCCTTCCATACGGACAGCCTGCAAGAGCCGCGAAAGCAGATCCTGAACAGCCGAGGCCTTGGCGATGCTGGTGACATAGTGGTGGATCTCCTGCACTAGGGACTCATATGCAGGCAGCTGGGGTCTGAAGGCCTGCTTCTTAGATAGGCTGCAGGTCAGATTCTCCAGTTGATCAATTCTTTGGCGGAGCAACCTGAAGCCAAATTAACACAATAGGCAAATTCAGTCAGAGGAAGAATAGCAAATCTAGAAGGGGCTCTCAGAGGGAGTAGAATGAAGACCTATCAGCTACAGAATAATGTAATGATGACACTGACAAGTATAATTAAAATGGAAAAATTTATAGAACATTTGCCATGGGCTATACTTGTCACCAAGCACTTGAGATGTAAATGTCACTGAAGTCTTACCATAACTCACTGAAGTAGGTATTATTATTACCCTCCTTTCACAAATATGATTACTTAGAGTCAAAGGCATTAAGCAATCAACCCAAGGTCTAAAGTCAAAAGGTCGGGATGGGACTGGAACCCACCCCTCACTATACAATTCTGGAAACTATATATACTATACTAAGGAAACAGCTCTATAGCAAAGGGTAACATGGAATTACATATAGTATACATCACCACACCCAACCACCTTCTTCCATGTTGAGAATAAGTTCTGGTTTCAACCATCTTGGCCTCATGTACATCCACACCAAGTATTTTTCCTGACTATACCCATGATTTTGGGATCTATATGCTAATGTAGATCAAAGATGTGTTTCATCACTTCTGCTAATACAAATTGAAAAGTCAACCACCACATGTCTTTTTACAAAGGACAGTCATAACTCCAAACACAAATGACTCTGCTGTGTTACCTGACATGAGGATGAAAGTAGTTAATAATGGCTTCATCTTCCAGGTCTCTTCCCGTTTGTAGCTGGGATGAGAGGTTTCGGGTCTTCCACTCACACTGCAGCTGGTGTAACTAACGGAAAGGGGAGAAAACTGGTCTGCTGTGACCCGCCATTGACCATGCAGACGAGATAATGCCCTAAGTTGATGGTAGAGCAACAACATGGAAGGAACCGGGTTCCTGAATGACCACGAGGTCAAGCTACTCTGTTCCTTTAATCCGGACCATTCATCTCAGAGCAGTTATGTGAAAGAAAGAAACTGCTATCTTATTTGCAACATTCGAATTTTGAAATTTCTTTGTTATAGCAGCTTAGCCTTTACCTCATTTAATACAACTTTTCTTCTCCATAATATGGAATTAGTGTATCACTATCTTAAGGTATTCAGTTCCTTAGTTTGGTTGGAAGTTCAAATAGTAAGGGATACATTATCTGAACTCTATTTGATTCTTGAATTTTAGATAAACAGTGAAAGTTCAAAAACTGAGGGATAATATAACCCTATCTTAAAAAGTTATCCAAATCCAAACAAAAAGACAAACAATCCAATTAAAAAATGGGCAGAAGACACAAACAGACACTTCACCAAAGAGGATATTCAGGAGGCCAACAAACATATAAAGAAATGCTCATGATCGTTAGCTATTAGAGATGTATATCAAAACAACGAGGTACCATCTTGCTCCAGCACTAGTAGCAAAGTTCAACAAGACAGAAAATAACAAATGCTGGCGAGGTTGTGGAGAGATTTGGACTCTCATATACTGCTGGTGGAACTGTAAAATGGTGCAACCATTGTGGAAAGCAGTATGGCGATTCCATCAAAAGTTGGAATTAGAAATAACATTTGACCCAGCCATTCCATTACTAGGTAAATATCCTAAAGAAGTGAGGGCCATGACAAGAACAGACATATGCACACCCATGTTCATCGCAGCACTATTTACAATAGCTAAAAGATGGAAACAACCTAGATGTCGATCAACTGAGGAATGGATAACCAAACTATGGTACATACACACAATGGAATACTATGCAA